TCTTTTGGTAGCTATTTATTCAGCCTTTCCTCACTCACCATCCAAAAATCTCCCCCTTAAACCCTCAACTACAAGGATAAGGCTCTGTGGACACACATCTCCAGACTGCAAACCTCAAAAACAAAGCAATTGTTATTTCTAAGCAACAAAACCAAATCCACTTGCAATCCATGTCTGCTCTTCTCTAACCAAGCCCATTCCTGTACACATTTCCATGGTCATTCTTCAAAGTTCTCAAAACAGGCTCCAGGGAGCACCTCTTAATTTTACACTTTAGCTGACTATGCTTCTCAAGTCAAAAAGCCCTTTCAGCCTACAGAGAACTTTGCAGGGACAAAAGACAATGTGCAAAGAAAAAGAATTTCAGTCTTAAGCATCCAATTAGGGCTGGAGTCACTCCATCCGGGGTTCCCAACAATGACACACGCCTTTCTGCTTTCTGCAAAGTCTCTGGAATATCGGCAATTGCCTTCCTTATGCAGCACAGGTTTCATCAGGATTTCAGTGACGTAAACACTTCTGCAGAGACCTTGTCACAAGTTTGTTCACCCTTCCAGGTTACACAGGGCTAATCTGCTGCACTGGAGGCGTGGTGATACATCAGCAAACACCAATGTTTATACATTTCAGTAGTCCAACAGTCTTCCCAGTAGACTAAGTGGAAACGTGAAAAGGTTTGTTAGAAAGGGAACTGTGTACTCAGTCAAGTGTGGGATTTACAGTAGCTCAGACAAACTAAGTAACCAGAAGCTTGTGCAGAAGGACAGACGTGGCTACATGCACAGTGTGTAGGCAGGGACAGTAATTTGGTAACCCTGGGGACAGGGACTGCTCCTTCCCACCATTCTCACACTCACACTGCAGCTTTGGCAGACTGACAAGGGAACAAGGCAGCAGCCAAAGATGTCTAAACTGAGTAAGTTCTAGTGACAGTTTTTGTATTATCAAGTATCCCACAGCTATACTTTTAAAAACCACTGACCTTCTGTTTTCTTTAGAAAAGTTTTCCCCTTGTGACTAAACTACAGAGCTGAATCAGGATCTATCGCCCCCAGTCACAGTGGCTGGTTTTGGCTGGGGGTGCACTAGGAACTGGGAAGGGATGCTGCTGAGACAGCTGACCCCAGCTGGGATATTCCAGACCATACAGCATCACACTCAGCAATAAATCTAGGAAGAGGGTGGCTGGGAGGGAAATGCTGCTCAAGACGGGCGTCAGTTTGCTGGTGGTAATTGTTCTCTTTTGCATCACTTGCTGGGTTTTATTTCTCTCTGTAATTTTCCTTTTCATTACAACTATTATTATTATTATTATTGTTGCTGTTGTTGTTGTTATTTTATTTGAATTATGGAACAGTTCTTATCTCAACCCATGAGGTTTCTCACTTTTACCCTCGCAGTTCTCTTCAGCCGGTCCTGCTGAGGGAGCAGTGAGTGAGCAGCTGCTGGTGCTCAGTTGCCAGGAGGGGTTAAACCACAACACAGCTACTTCTGCTCAAAGACCATCCTCAGCTCTGCGTCACTGAAGGGTGAGTTCTAAGAAATCAACGCCCCTTCACAGATTTCAAAATGATCATGATCATAACTTCCAACGTGAACACTTCTAGCCTCGATAGTTAACTTTCAATACTAATTTTTAAATTATGTTGTATGTTCACTTCTTACTACTGCTTGCTTTTGAACAACTGTTTCTATTTAAAAATGATCACTGTGCTTTTCCTGCACTTTCCTTTTTTTTTTTTCCCCCCCCTTTACTGAAGACAGATGCAAACAGGTCTCAGGTCTTCACAGCACTTTGTGGCAACCACCTCTCCTATACCTGCCTTTTTTTAAAGTTAAAGTTTCAAAACTGTAATACATATAACATTTACAAAGTACTACAGTGAATAGTATAATACTAAAAGCACATGAGTCCCTGTAAGTTATCTATCAAAACGAAAACTCCTAATAAAGATCAAGAGGACATCAGGACTACAAAAAATCTCTTCAAAAATACTGAGTATTGTGGAAGTAACCACAACTTCAGCTTTTCAACTTCATTTTTCTAATGTTCCTTCTGCTTTAAATGTGAACTGAGAGACTGAACTATCACTTCACACAGTCAGTGCAAGCATGTGTCTCAGTCGGGGTCACTACTTGGATATTACGCAGGGGACAAGGGAAAAAGAAGGTAATAACTCACCTCTCTGCTTGGTATGCAAAAAACAAACCAATCAACCAACCAACCAACAACCCACCCAGTAAAGAACTGCTTACAAATACAGCTTTCCTAACCCAGTTTAGCCAAACAAATCTGTTGTTGCCCTTCCCATAATCTCTTGCTAAGAATTAACACAATTTAATCCTTAAATTAAACAATTTCTATACAGTTCTCTTCACTAGAAATGCCAAGCTGCCCTCCAACACCACGTGTAATTAGAGGGGCTCCCTGCACAGCAGAGTTTAAGACAGCTACCGATCAGTACCTGGAATGAAACACCGGTTGAAGTGAATTTTTGTTAAAAATCCAGCAGGATATACAGGTTTATTGCAGTACTGGGGACTTTTCCAGTTCCCAGCAGCAAGCCCTAACCCAGCACTCATTTGGGCCACCACCCTGGTTATCTGAACTCTGGACAACTTCCTAGTTGGCCAACTTGCTGAGAAATATTATCTTAAAGTCGTTTAAACTTCTCAGGCGTCTTTGAGAGAATAAAATTCAGTAATAATTACAAAAAAAAAAAGACTTTGACATACTATTATTTTAGTAAGACAAACAATGGCACTGAGGTCACACGGAATTTTATACCGGTAAAGTAGAAATAGCACCACACGCTGAGTTCTCCCCGAAATAAACCAAGTAATCAAGAGCCTCGGAATAACCCTGCGAGCGGCTTCACCCCGGCTGCTGGTGGGGCCGGACACCCCCTCCCCGGGGTAGGGCAGGGCCCGTCCCAAACGAGCCGTTCCCGAGCGCATTCCCGGAGCCAAGGGGCTGTTCCGGCTGCCGCCCAAAACTCTCGGGAAAACGAAACTCCTGCCTGGCCGGCCCCGAGCCCGCTCCTCCCGGGCAGGAGCCACCGCCCGCGGGCTCCCTGCGCTGTCCGGACCGTCCCGGGGCCGCCCGCCCGGGTCTCCCCTGCGCCCAAGCCCCAACCAGCCCGCGGTGCCCCGGGGGCTCCCCCGGCCCGGCCGGAGCGCCGGGAGCGGCTCGGGAAGGGCAGCGCTCGGGGCCGGGAGCAAAGCCCCCCGCTCTGCTCTGCCCTGCCCTGCCCGCGCCCGGCTCCGGGCACAGCCCTTACCGCTCCGGGCCGTGCCCGCCGACCCTCCTCGCTCTGCTCGCCGCTCCGCTCCGCTCCGCTCGCCGGGTGCACCCCCGTCAGCAGGGCTTGTCCCGTCCAGTCCCCACCCGCGGTTCCTCCTCCCCTTCCCGCGGCTGTCGGAGGAGCCGCCTCGCCCGAGCGCTCCCGCGGACCCACCGGCAGCGGGAGAGGCGCGTCTGGGCGCGGGCGGCGGGGAACGGGAAAACTGGGTGGAAGGACAGTCACTCCTGACGCACTTGGCAGTCGCCGGGACCGGGAACTCCGCGGCTCTTGCCAAGAGTTCGCTCACAGATTGACAAACCAGTGGTCTTCAACTTTCCAGGCTCCGTGTTCTGTAACTCTTGAGGAAAAAAACCCTCCCCTAATTCTACGATGTCCCGTAGGTTACCAAATCAGTTATTTCAGACAACGTGCAAGAGCACATAAAATGATCAACAAAACCTTCAACAGGTTCAGTGATTTTAGTTAGTGCCTTTACAAGCAATTAAGTTGGATTCAGTCTTTGGAAAACATGGAGTATGTCACTCCTTTCTCTATCCAGCTCCAAGAAAACACAAAAAGTGAATTACTGGCCAAATCCCTGAAAGGGATTCATCAGGGATCGCTTCATATGCTGTAGTTTGGGTGAATCTACCTCAGACTGAAGGGAATCAATGACCCCTGTGGGCTCAGCAGGGATTGTGCATTAGGCCTTTTGGCTGAAAGCATCTAAAATCAGTTAAAGTCCTATTTTTGTATTTAAAACCTTTCTTGGACCTCTCCCTAAGTAACATACACAAAGCTTCAACTCAAACCCATCCTGGAGCAAGGAGTCAGGTTTTATAGGACAAAAGGGACTCTTATCCCAGTGACAGTGAGCCCAACATCAAGCTCTGCGGTCACATTAATTACTGAATCCCCTGCAGGTACTGGTGCTTGGGGATGTCATCGATGTTGGAGTATTGAGGGCATGAATACTCCCATTCCCTGACTCAGGGGGAACAGGGAGAAGGTATAAACTGTGATTCAGCAGCATTCAGTGGGATTAGAACTAGACATAGAGGTGAATAAATTTATATCATTTTCAAGAAATCACATTATATATTATTTTTCTCAGGAGCAGAACATGAGTAATTTTGGTTTTGGTGCCCTGGATTATCTAAAAATGGAATAATTGTTCTCTCAGTAACTAAATTCCCTTCTCAAGGTGGCTATGAGCATCTTAGAAGCCAGAGGAGAGGGAGACCATGACTGAACACATCTCCCAGGGCAAAATAAGGCATGACCTTCAACTGGAAGCCTTCTTGCTCCAGTTGCCATGCTCTCTCCTGTGTTTTTTCTTGCATCTAATGAGAGGCTGGCTCATGCTCCTCCTTGGGGATCCCAGCAACATTTCTCCTTTTTGCCTGACCACTGTTTACATCCAGTGTCCCAGTACAGCAGGCGGTCAGCACCTATGTACCAGTACAGGAGTGTATTTCCTCTCACTAACCGCCCTCCTTCCCACCCAGCTCACCATTCTCCACTTCCTGCCTTTCCAGACATTTTGCTGGATGGCACCGGGCAAAAGAAGAATCACTTTTAGTCAGTCAGTGGTTGGCCAGGTCACCACAGGATCTGGGAGCTTGCTGCAAACAGCACAGACATCACAGTTAACAGAACGTTATGTAATGGTCAGTGGAACTGTGACAGTTTAGTAACAAGTCAAGTCAGCCCAATCCACTTTAGGGGCTCTGTGGCCGCCCAAAGTAACAAATTGTAAGACTTTTCTGATGAATATTCATATCCTGGCTAATAAGTACGTGTGCTATCTTGAGCCAACCATGCAGGTAAGGCAGAGTTTTCCTCCGTGTATTGACAGCTGTAATAAAGTAATGCCTGCTTCTTAATACCACATCGGTGTTAAGGAGTTTTATTCCCAATTTTCAGTGGCAAGTTTGTGGAAAAATGGCAGGTTTGCTATGGAGAAATCCATGGGGCTGAGTCGAGCCGCTTGCTTATCTTACACCTCCCTTGAGTGAGGCTTAACAACTGCATGGTGTCTGGGGTGAAGGGTGGGGCTGTTTCTTCAGTAAAACAGCACTGTTTGTGAATCTGTGATTGTGAATATTCTTATTAAACACAACCAGACTTACAGTGCCAAACTGATAATAATCAGAAATTAAGTCCAGCTGCTTCTAGACCCTCTGATCTCCAATGCGAAGGAGGTTATTTTCTGCCAGATTTCAGACTCTGATGGAATAGAGCTGCAGCCTGCCAGCCTGGCTAGGGTAGGCAGGGTGCTCCCCCAGCAAAGCAGCACAGCTCCCCCAAAGCTGCTGCCCATGTAGGAACCCACGGCAGTTCTCTTCCTGCAGCAGAGCAGGTGACTGGGTGGGGACGCGACCGGCGCCAGCTCAAGGCGTGAATGAGGAAGCCTGGCTAGAAATTGCTACATCTTTTTTACCTGTCCCCCTGCCCCCATGAGCTGTGTACCTGAAGATTATAAACATTACTTATTTTTAAAAAATTATAAGAAAAAAAAAGGCCACGTGGCAATTTCATAAGCTTGAAGTGTGAGTGCAGTACGAGGTAACCACGAGCAGCTCTGCTGCATCACCAGTCCCGTGGCAGGATGTGCTGGGCAGCCCCACCTGTTCCATCCACTGTTACACCTCTCTGAGCTCTCCTGAGTCATCACCGGGGCTGCCAACAGCACCATGGAAAGGGAAAAGTACACAGAGTACAGTGTATGTTTGGTCATCACGCTAATTACACATATTGTATTACAGAACACCAGCAGATGTCAGTTTAGCCCCAAAAATGAACGCTGGATTTATTCGCTTTTGTTCCTAAAGCAGCAACTTTCCACCAAAGAAGCTAAATGAAGTTCAGAAGTTGATGTACATTTGACAGCCTGTTAGTCATATTTTACATACTGCAATATGGCCTTAGTGTGTAAAATAAGTAAACCTTAATGTCACCTTATTTTTCTTCCAGACCCACTCTATAGTAGCTTCAGCACTTTGGTTGTACTGTCAGACAGTACAGTTTTGTTCTCTAGGCTACTTTTAAGTGAGTGCACATAAAAGCACCTACAGTAATTAAAAATAAGCACAGCCATAATAAACTTCCTCTCATGTACTATTACTGCAAAACTCCTGATCACAAAATGCTTCAGAGCTAATAACCCAATCATTAACAGCTTGCAGAGGCAGGCCTAGGTAACACTGCTGTATTGTTTCTGCTTGGGTGAGCACTAGCTCTGTTCAATATAAACAAATATACTGACATGCAGTTGTCAAACTGTCTGATGTCAAGAGGTGCCAGATTCATGGGAAAGTATGGTGCAGTTTGATTGTGTGAACAAGAGCAGAGCCTGGGGTCAAAACTACCAGGAAGTGGGTTACCTTGAACCCTGGTTCCCAAACACTTGGCTTAAAAAAAAAAACAACAAATTGTGATAGAGGCTTTGCAATGTTCATTTGGGAGCTAATATCTTCAACTGAAATTATCCCCAAATAAATTCTGTGTGTGACAGAGGGCACGGGGGGGGAAAAAAGAGAGAGAAGTTAGAGAGACTACAAATACACCCTCCCTTTCAGAAACTGCTTTGTGAAGATAAATGCCCCATGATTGACAGCATCAAGGCTTACACTATTGCTCCACACCAATATGGAAGTCGTAGGGAAAAAAACCCCAACAAAAAACCCCCTCACAATAGAGAAATGATGACTTCAATTCAGCTCTCAGACACGTTATCTTGCATAAAATCCTCTTCTTTCTCAGTTCCCATTTTCTTCCAGTGTCTTCGCCCTACTGGCCACTCAGACACTTGTGCTCTCTGGTGGGGCTGAGGTTTCCTGGCTGCTGCTGTTCTCTCTGTTGAGCTGCAGCTGCCCATTTACTTACCTGAACTCCTTCCCCTAGAGGCTGTCCATGTGCCAGACAGACACACAAGGTGTCCTTCCCTGCCTCCACAGAGCAGGGTCACAGACTGTCCCCTTCCCAGGCAGGCCAGCTCTTAGTTTAAGGTATCACAACAGCTCCTCCTGATACTAAACATCTCCCACCCCAAGCGTGCACCCTCCTCACTGTACAAACCCTTCTTAGCATGATCACTGAGGAAAAACAGACCTCTTTTTTCATCTGCAGGTTGGTTGTATGTGGGGTAATATGCTTGTGGAAGACAGGAATATTAATGGATTTACCATGTGAAACAGAAGTAGCATATCTAGTCTAAAACTGCAAATGATCCCCCAGGGTTGCAGTTGGTTGACAGAATTGCTAAATTAATCCAAACCTAAATATTAGTGCTTTACTGTCCTTCTAGTATTACTTCCTTCTTAATTACCAGCTCCCATAGTGTTATTTGATCATCATAACAGCTAGTAACAGCTGCCAGACTGCAAAGCACTGTTTCACACTACAGCAAAATATTTAAGCATGTAAATCATATCATCTCCCCTAGAGAGCGAGACAGCAGCGTGGTGTCAAAAGAGGTAATGATAGATTTCTTTTTCCCCAAACATTTGGCACTTCATGTAAAGAATTACAAGGAGAATAACCATTCAGTGCCAGTAATGGTTCTCCTAGCATGAACAACCAAAAAGAAATGATAGAGAAGCTTCATATTTAAAAACAGCAGATCTGTCCTGATTAAGTCATCCATTATTTGATGGATTATCTATTAATGACATGAGAAAACAGAAAGGAAAAATTATGATTCTCTAACCATTTACCCTTCGAATTCATCTTCCTACTCCCTTGACAGGGTACAGGAAGGATGTTATTTTAAAAATAAAGCTGCCGGATTATTTTTCCTGTAGACAGAACTGAAGCATGATTTCCACTGCTCTGATGCCATTGCTGAATGAAGAGGTGCAAAAATCCCATCTTGTTGCCCTTTCTGCAGAATAGTGCCAGATCTGCTGCTTGGCCAAGCTGTGGTATAGTCTTGGCTGTAAATCAGCCTTGCCAGCTCTTCTTGTATCTGACCACTGAAATCACTGATCTAAATCTGACATTCAAACTTCCTGCTGTTTTGCTTAAGGCAGCACAAGATGTGTTTTAATTAACTGCTTTGATCCAATTCTGTGGATCTAAAATGAGTAAGCAATAATGCAGTAGTTTCTTGTGCGTAATTCTGATACAATTTTCACACAGCTGTCATCTGGGCACCAGAATTATTGCAATCTAGTTGGGATATAGGCAAGAAATAAGAAATATGTATAGAGATTAAGACTATATTACTAAAAAATCATAGTTATCTGATGAGGTTTTCCTTAGGGCCTCAAATATCCACTTCTCTGAAAGCCTGTTTCTAGCATCACTCACACACATTATATGCAAAGCTGGATGACAATAAGCATTTATTGTCTTGTGCTCCTCTCACTTTATGCAACAAACATTTGAACTTAGCAGTAGTAATGCTTGCAGTAGTTATGGTAATTGTAAAGTTATTGATACTGAATTCTGTATTGCTTTATAATCTGTAGTTTTTTTTAACTTAGATCATGATTTAAGAATAGCTTTGCCATGGTGTTTAGCATTTCACTTCCCCACCTCTGGCAGGAGTGCCTTCATTGAAGACATTCCAGTGAATCTCTCCAGTCCACATACAAATTAAACACCAACAGTTTTGGCTCAGAAGGGGCCAGTTCCTGTTCCAGAAACTCAGACATTACATACCATATCTTGTCACTTGATACTGGTTGTCTGTAGGAAGCAGTCAGCCAGGAAGCTTATCATCTGGGGACCAGATCAGCACTTGTGTCATTGCTACAGATCTAAAACAGCAACAGCAATGTGAGGATTAATACCCGTTTACCAAAAGGATGACTAATCATGGTGAAATGCAATACCGTCAGCCATTGCTACACGTTAAGAAAGCACTTCTCCAAATCTGCTTGCAGCCTTGAGTGGCTTGTTAAACTGGATGCCAAGTGTTTAGGGCCCTCTTTAGTTGAAATGAAACTGTTGTCTTTTCAGACTAATCCTTTGCGATAAGCAAAGCAAGCAACAAACTATTGAATATGCTTACAAAGATCAGTAATAAAGATAACAGAACTAGAGACCCTCAGGTGGGATTGTGAGAGCTGGCTCATCTGCTGTATGCACAGATTCTGTAAGTCTTGATTGTATGCACAGCTCCTCCTGAATTTGCCCTGCAGCAAAATCACGTGTTGTGTGACACAACCACAACAGAGTCTACAGTAACTAAAAATAAACTGCTTCTCTGCAAATTCATGGCTCAGTTTAGTCCGGCTTGTAAATAGCTTTTCAGCATTGGTCAGCAAACACCGTTCCTTATGATTATCACACTGTGCACAACCTCACTAATTGTCATTAGAGTTGGCTATTTTAGTATCTTCACAGATTGCAACATGTGGGTCTGGCCTCAGATGTTTGTTTAGTAAGTCATGAGTTCTCTTACCAGCTTTTGTTACCGACATTTGTGTATCTGACCCAGCTGCTTTGCCATTTCCTTGAGAGCTTTCAGGTCGTCAGAGTTGCCTGACAAATCTGTTGCTGTTTCCATCCCTGTGGTACTAAATGTGTTGTACCTGGATGGTGGGAAAGCTGGATAATCAGTCACATTTCCAGTATCTCCACATGAGCAATTAGGAACATCTACCCCAAAGCTGTAGGCCAGACAGAGCTACAGGCACAGTGAACCTTAATGTTTCTTTAATCAGCATGTAAGTGACAATATTTTATTTGTTTATTAATTTTTATTAATTAAATGAAATTTAAATTAACCTCTTTTTTTAACAGAAAATCGAGTTCAAATTAGGTTTTAAGTCAGATCAGCTTATTTGAAACTTTTTCATGTTAGAGTTGTATTTTCAAGCAAAAACTTCACCCTTTGTTTTACTTTTTACGTCCTTATTCTTGGAAACATTTACCGTAAGATTGCTTTATTTTAAACTTTAGAAGAACAGGCATTGGGTTATCTCTAAAGGACTTTTACAAAAGGGAAATTATCTCATTCAGCAAGCATAATATTTTGACAAACATTTGGGATTTTAGAGCCTCCCTTGTAAAATGAATCCTTATTGCATTTGTAAAGGACTTTTCAGTCACTAAAGAGTGTCTAAAGAGTTGTCACTTGCATTCTACCAAGAAAGAATCAAACTAGCATAGGTCAGTAAAGAGTATAGATGTCTTAAAAATATTTGTACCAGTTGCTGATGTCTGTAATAAGAAGAATATTTTTGCTTTCATTCTCGAAGCAGGAGAATTTCTAAAATTATTTTCCTCTCATTGTTGGCATGTAGCAGTTATGCTGCAGTGACAGATGTTTCTTAGGATTGATTTGTTCCCAGAAGAACATTGATTTAAACTTAATTAAGAAGAAAAGTGCAAAGAATTTTACATTTTTTTTGTTTTACAGCTGATAACAAGTGATTCATAACCAAGCAAACTCAAGTAACTTCAACTGAAAAACAAGTAGCCAAGAAGAAACATTGTTTGCATTGAGGTGCAAATAACTAAGACAGAAAAATATCGTGGTCTTTAAATATTTGTCTCAAGGACTCAGACATAACGTGACTTGTCCACAAGATGGCATGCACTGTACCCAGAAGGGGCTGGCAGCAAAGTACCATCTGTGGGACAAAAAAACCCTTCCTTGGAATTGTCCTTAACTTCCTTATCCTTCTAGGCAAGCACAGAAGAAAACCTGTCTGTAATTACTTTCTTGATCTAAAAATCTGCTTGTCTCAGAGATGAGCAAAGACTTCAGTTCACATGGAAAACAGATAATGTCTGTCATCCAGGGGAATTAGTTTTTCTCTTTGAGATTTCAGGTGGCTACAGCCAAGTTAAGTCATACACAAGAGGCACAGGCACTGCAGGGAGAAAGATTATAACCTTACCAGACATCTGGTTTTTACCAGTCTCTAGATTACTGCCTGGAAGAAGCAGACAGTGGGAAGGGAAAGAGCTGAGAATTCTGAAAGGACTGACCAAACAAAGAAAAACTCAGAATGAAGATGGCAGTGCTTCGTAGGAAGGTGAAATTTCTAAGGGTCTATAGGAATTTATCCCTACATACCTGATAACCAAAAAAGCATCCAATTCTTAGACCCTTTACAAGTCTGTTCAGATTAAAAATAAAGTCTCACGATGCTCATTTTTCCCTCCCCCTTGAGATTGACATTTTTGTCACTGCAAACTGGAATTAGCCTAAACCAAGACCATTGGACAGGTTTTCCTGCCCATCTGCTTCCCAGCAAAAGCTGCCCTAATTAAGTATCATTGGTGGCTCTTCAGAAAAATGAAATGTATTTGCTTTCTGTCCTATAGACAAACTTCCAAGGGATTGAGGAATTCCTGCTACAACGGGCAACCCTAATAGAAATGTCAGAGGCCAGCCAGGGGTTAAAGGTGTCTCTCATGAGATACTCGCAGCAATGTGACGTGAAGTGGCTAAACCCCACAGAATTATAAGTGTGGCAAATACAGCAGGTGGGATATACACAGCACTGCTCCCACAAGACGAGGGCCCTTTCTAGTGCTGACATCACAGTTCTGTTCACTCTTGACCCTTTCACAGAGGAGAGCAAAGAATGGCCCGTGTGCTGCAGGGCGAGGGTTGCTCCGTGTCAGTGCTGCTTCCTCCGCCTGCTGCAGCTGAAGCTTTGAGAAGAAATGAGCTGGGTGATGAGGCTGCTGAGAGTGAAAGGAAGAGTTTTTCAAGTGGCATCTCTCACCTGAGCACAGTGAGCTCCAATGGACTAGTGAACAGGCAGTGCTCTGAGCTGTGAACCGGCTCGTAGCGGGTGTGAAGGGGAAATGACGCTTAGAAGAAAATCATTTTAAGGTTAACAGCTCTACAGAACTTGAGAAAGTGCTCAGCAGTGCTATAGAGAAATATATACACTAAAGGCACTCTTTTTGACATTTAAACTAAAGAGACTATGGAAAATTTGGGCTAAATTTCATTTTACACAAGGTTAGGGCTCTTTGTGAGAGCGAAGCAATAACATTGCTTACAACCATCACTCCCCCAACTTCTACTTTGCACCCCTGGGCTTTATTCCAGCAGTAAGTTCTCTTAGACATACATCAGGTCTTCTTACAGGCTTGGAGAAAATAGCTGAAACCCCCCAAGTACTTGAAAATAAGAAAGCTATATGAGGGGACAGCTGGTAGAATTAAACATTGGCAGTCAGAATATCCAAGTTTAGATTCCTATTCCTTTACTGAATTGCTCTGTAACAGAGCAAGTAATTCCACTGACTAAGATTAATTGCCCTTACTCAGAGCCCACAAAGGTGACCTCTAGCAAACTACCTGGGAAAGCCAAGTCCACAGCTGCAAGAGGAGGTGAATCAATGAGAAGAGAATATGGAATTTCTTCTGTTGCAGATGATTACTATGGGATTGTGTTCTGAGCAGATGGAATGGACAGTTCATTATTTATTAGTGTTTCATTAAAAAAAAAAAAACAGAAGGGAAAAAGACCAATTTAAAAATCACCCAGGTGTAGAGGTAGAAGTTATATAAATTGTTCATTAAAAATAATAAAACCCCAAAAACTCACCCTACCTCCAACCCTCCCAAACACCTTATATCACACACAGACACATATAAAAAATATAATCTGCATTAATTATTCCAGCACTAAAGTGGGAGCTACACATCCATGCAATGTCTCCTCTCCATTTCAAGCACAGATTTCCATAGTGTGCAATGGAAATGCCCATCAGAAAAATCTTTTACTCAGGCACACAAAATTCCTTTTGGTATTCCATCTTATTTGAAGTTATACTGCTCCATGAAGTTACTGGTAACTGTTGGCAACAGTATCAGTATGCTGCCTTTACTGAGAACTTGAAATATCAGATGAAAAGTTGGTCTAGAAAAACAGGCATTTTATTTTATCTTCTATAAATCAGTATGTGTGGACCTATAACTCTATGTGACGCTGTTAACACATTCCCTTTCTGTTTAGTTCTGAGCTGGAATATGCCTACTTTGTTCCAGAATGCCCAAACTGTTCAATGTGCAGCCATTCCTCGTTAGTTCAGACGCTGGGTTTGGACACCCAGAGGAAAGGCAGAACTGTCAGTTATGAGAGCAGCCTAGAAGAGCAATGTTAAATCAGTGTGAAATCAGCATCTAATTGCCCCTGTAAAGGAATAATGGCAATGCAACATACTTTTTAATTCACTGTCAGCCTGTCAATATTTTTCAAATCGGTTATGAATATGAAACATACCTAAGAAAATGAATTAAAATGGACAAATTGGTTAAACTCCTGCTGGCACATTTAATTTTTACCCTGAGTGCCCTACCATGAGCATTCTAAGAAATGACAGTGTATCTTTTTATTATAGTAATGAATCAACTTGCAGACTGCATGCAAGGCATAGAGCAAATACTGCATTTATTCCGGTTCAAGCCTGTTCCCACAGAACATCTTTTGCAGTGCTATATAAAAGTGTGGGTTTAGGTCAGCTTTTATTACAGACTGAATTGTTTGTTGTTCTTAGAGATAATGGGAAGAGTCCCATTTAATATGAGTCAGTTAGTTATTGTGGAGAAAAATGAAAATTAATGAAGTGTCTTTTAAACTAAATCAGTGGGAATTGTGTTTCCTTCCCACTATACTTTATGTATTCCCTGAAGAAAGAGCCCTACATCAGACTGGGATCAGAGATCTGTGTCTACCTAGCAAGTCTGCCAAGTCTTATTGTTGCCACAGGTTCAGGCCTTTGAGGTTTTTTTCTAATTTGATAACCTGAGTGCAAGAACTCAGTATATTTGGAATTATTATTTCAGAAATCACACAAGATTCATTCTTTGGGAATTATCATAAAGAATCTCCAAACACTTTGTACCCATACAGCTCAATTACAGACATTCCTGAAAGTCACAGAGTTCAGGAGGTTCCAGACTCAGCATTCTAGAAATGCTCAAAGGGACAGGCTGGTTCCAGTGTTCCAGGAAAAAACATACAACTGCAGCTGGTGGTGCAACACCCCTCTGCCGGTCAGCTATGGTATTCTGGGTCAAGAATAGAAGAAAAAAAGGATAGATATTATGAAATACTACTTTCCTCTCCCCATCGGGTTTTGATTTCAGAGGCCCTGACAGCATATTGAAACTGTCAGAGGAGCAGTCAGCTTGCAATGCTGCAAGTCTCAGTTTAAAAAATCACAGGGAAAAAAAGGATCCAATTTCCCTGATTTAATAACAGGTATAAATTTCCTCCAAAGACTTTTACTAATTTCCCAAATTCAGGCTAATAAGGTTGTGGCAGATTTGGAGTTGCCCACCAAGCTGAGTTCCACCACATTCAGAGTTTTGCAGGATTAATGTGCCAGAAGGGAGCGATGTTGCAGAGCAGGAGACAGCTGGCACAGATCATGAAGAATCTACTCACCCGGCATCATTTACTTTCCCCCCTCACTATGGGTAGACAATGGATGCAGATATGAAATATTACATAGATTCAAACATTTCTCTTTTTTTTTGGAAGCACTGATCAGTTTTGTTTTCGTAGGAGGGACTGAATTTACTTATTAATAAACACTGCTGTGTTAACTTGCTGCTGCTGGGCTTTTTTAATTGGGTAACAACCAGCCCTATGTGGAGGCTAGAATTTGTAATGCTGTAGTGTTAAACATTTAAACTGCAGTATCATCCTTCTGGAATTGAGGCTGTGTGTTCAACCATACATTATTATTCTGGGGATCACTGACCTGAAAAGAAAGAACGAAACCTGCTTGTCTTTGCTTCAGTACAAGCACACTGGATGCTTTTAGCTGTGGTTTTCTGAAGCATTCATGAAATCTCAGGGCAACTCAAAAAACTCTTTCTTCAGCAAGAGCTGCATTGAATTCCCAATTATCCAGGGAAAGCTGGATGGGTGATAACAGCCCTGTCAGGACTGTAGCTGACAACACTGCAATTGGAATTCTGCTTTTTCAGCAGCTGTGCAAAAGCAAACTGGGAAATACAAATGACTCCTTGGAAACTGCAGGATATACTACTTAAAGCTGCTCTGAGTTTTCAGGATAATGAAAATAGGCTTCCCAGGTGACAACTAGAAATCATAACACCATCTTTTACCCCTTGAATTAGATAAAATTCAGATCTGAGAAATATGATAGTGCAAAAAGATAGAGCTGCAGCATTGCACACCTAAAGGACTTGAGCATCAGCTTTTAGGTCTTTCCCCATGCATTTATTTGCAACACAGCATTAGATGTCCTTTTAAGTGAAAGGCCAGGGTGCTGCTGGAAGCTAAACCCCCAGAAAATTGCTGAACCTCACAACAGAAGTACAAGACCAACAGTAAAAGAAGCAGGTGAAAGATCCTGGAGAAAGCATGAGAAAATGTGCTACTTGAGGGAGAGGGGAACCTCTGCGCTTTTCTTATCTGTCAGAGCTGTATTTCCACGAGCACCAGTGTACCTCCTGACCCTTACCATGCTGCTAAAGTTGGGCACTGCATGAGGCTCCCCATGGCAGGATCTCCCTGGGGCCTCCCTGGTGCTGCTGCCCTGCATGAATGAACCTCCTGGGAGACATCCAGATAGCTTCAGACTTCAAGAGAATGTGGCAGCACAGTCCACGGCAGGATTTTCCTCAGTTTAGAAGAATTGCCCATAGCAACTTGCAGCCAGTTGGAGAAGCAGATAAGAGATACTTAAATATCTGTACTAGAAATGGTAAAGATACACTTTGCACCCCTTCAAATCCCCACTACTGAAGTCAGTGAGGTATCTGTGGTTTCTTCTCACAATATTTTTCTGTCTTCTCTACAAGGGAACCAGAGGGGTAGTAAGTCATTTGCTTATATCCCAGATAAAGGGAGTCTGTACAAAGGATGTTAAGATACATGTTAACACATTGTGGTTGAGG